TTTCAGCATGGAGGTGGAAAGTATATGATCATAGCCCACAAGATCAGATGTCTCTGTTGGATGCCATGAATGCTGCATGTGAGGACATCACAGCTGATCATTGCAGGGGATGGGTGCGGCATTCAAGGAGATTTTTCCCCGGTGCATGGCAATGGAAAACATCAGATGTGATGTTGATAAATCTTTGGCCTGACCAACAAGAGCGACAGTATGTCCAGCAAGAATAATTTTTGAAGTATTCAAAAGAAGTATTTTTGTGTATTTGTGGTAACATAAGAAATATGAAATGTACAGTAATTGGACAAGCAAGACTTCACTTATATGTAATGCATTCGTACAAAAATAAATGTACTGCATAAATACAAATGTTCATATACTTTTTTTTTTTTCTATGTACTATTGACTCTTCTCAACAAATATCAGATTTTGTATAAAACCTTCATTTCCATGGTTGACTGTCATGGTGAAAAAACAACTAAACATTTTGACCAGTGTGGCTCACACGATGACAAAAATACTTTATATTTTGGTGGCCTTGGCCAAATTACTGACACGATAACTAGGTTTTGAAGCATGAATGAAATGTTTTGGGTGAGTAACTACATTTTGCAGACATGCAATAAAGTTCTGAAGTTCCAGCAAACAGTTGTGACATTTGCACTCACAGTTTAGAGAATATTAAGATTGTTTCGAGAATTGAGCCAAAGCAATTGAGAAAAACTGTAATGGAGAAAGCGTGATAACTAGCTCCATACTAAGATCTAACCCATGTTTTTCTAAGCAGCGGTAATAATACAAGAGTTCAATTTCGCTTCTTTTTTATTCCAAAGCGCATTTACCAACAATGTTATTATTACTGTATTAAAATAAGCGTGTTGACCCTTGGTCCCGCCCATTTGTCACATCTAGCCTCCCCATTGGAGAAGGTTGGCGTCCATCACAGTGCGTCCAGCAGCGCGACGTTACGCCGTGGCGTCATATCCTCTTCAGCGCTTCGTTTGAAGTAGATGGTAAAGTTGATCTCTATAACCAATAATAATTAATCTAATTTTCACGCATTTGTTAGATTACTCTGGTAGCAAAATGTAAACATTTGATGACTCGTATTTGAATTAGATAACTTGATTTGACTGTTAAACCCTCTATGGTGTGTGTGACAGCATTTAAAAGCGACCGGCTGCTTAAAATACTGTAAACACCGATAGCAAGAGTTCAGCAGAGTGAGAAGATCGCAGCCGGATCTAGAGCTGATATATGAATATATGTGAACGTTTAAAACACGACATGTGTGTGATTTGCTCTTCTGCGTCTTAGGAAGGGCTCGGTCGGAATCAGTAACTGCAGAGATGTCTGTGAACCTGACTCCAGAACAGCAGCGGAGGATTGAAAATAACAGACAGCGAGCTCTGGCTAGAAGAGCCGAGAGACAGGCTCTGCTGATACCCGGATCTGCCCAAAGCGAGCACACACATCCGGGTACCACAGGAGGCCCTGCAAAGAGCAGCCACCTGTTTGCACCTGGGCATCTGGTACATCCAGGGGCCCCTGGTCAAGGTGCAACACAGGTGGGCACCAGAAACCGCTCTGTCCGGGCTCAGAAACTACTCTGAAATAGTTATTTTTTATATTTAAGTGTCAGATAGGCAATGTGCAATGTGAATAATGAAATGTGAGACTACTTAAGAGCCTGTCAGGCAGGAACCAACTGACCTCTACAACCAAAAATGCATAATTAATACGACTGACATATAAAAATGACCTTATCTGTGCATTTTTGTCGATGTTTTATGTGGAAAAGTGATCATTTAAAATGTGTACACATAATTGCTATGACTAAGTTGCATTATACATAACATGACTGCATCCTAAAAACAAAAAAACTTTGCTTTCTCTTTCCTTAATCCCCCCGGTCTAGTACTTGTACTAATCTGAACAGTATCTGAAACTTTGTATTACGAGCACTTACTGTGATGAATCGCTTGTTGTATTCGTCAATAGTAAGTCGCTTTGGATTAAAGCGTCTGCTAAATTAATCAACGATTATGTAAATAACAGTATTGTATAATAGTCCTTTTTAGGGTTTTTAGAGACACATTTAAGGGTGTAATTTGCTAGTAAAGTTTATATTAAAAATTGACTACCTGGTAGAAAAGTGAACATCCGTAAAAATACAATATTATATTATTAACCCTATAAAGCCTACTGTATCATATGATACTCTAAATTATCAACATGATCAAAACATTGCTGTACTACATACACTGCTGTTCAAAAGTTTGGGATCAGTGAGATTTTTAATGTGTTTTAAAGAAGTCTTCTGCTCAGCAAGGCTGCATTTATTTGATCAGAAATACAGAAAAAAACTAATATTGTGAAATATTATTGGAATTTAAAATACTGGTTTTCTATTTTAATATACTTTAAAAATATAATTTATTTCTGTGATCAAAGCTGTATTTTCAGCATCATTACTCCAGTCTTCAGTGTCACATGATCTTCAGAAATCATTCTAATATGCTGATTTGCTGCTCGAGACACATTTCTGATTATTATCAATGTTGAAAATAGTTGTGCTGCTTCATATTTTTTCAGGATTATTTGATGAATAAAGTTAAAAAGAACAGCATTTATTTAAAATAGAAGTCTTTATTATCACTTTTTATCAATTTAACACATCCTTGCTGAATAAAAGTATTAATTTCTTTCAAAAAAAAAGAAAATAAAAAAATTACTGACCCCAAACTTTTGAACGGTAGTGTATATTGATACAAAAAAAATTATATTTTGAATAAATGCTGTTCTTTTTAACTTTTTATTCATCAAAGAATCCTGAAAAAAAGTATCGCAGTTTCCAAAAAAATATGAAGCAGCACAACTGTTTCCAACATTGATAATAATCAGAAATGTGTCTCGAGCAGCAAATCAGCATATTAGAATGATTTCTGAAGATCATGTGACACTGAAAACTGGAGTAATGATGCTGAAAATTCAGCTTTGATCACAGAAATAAATTACAGTTTAAAGTATATTAAAATAGAATAGAATTTTTTAAAATTAAAAATATAATTATTTTAAATTGCAATAATATTTCACAATATTTCTGTATTTTGGATCAAATAAATGCATGTATAATGTATATACTACATGCTACAATATACTACATGCATTCTGTCGTCAGATTGATAGTTTACTCTTTTTGCAAGTAAAAAGCTTTATTATATTTCTAAATGAGTATGTAAATATCATCTTACTTAGACATTATTAAAACAATTTGCAGATTTGATTTAAATTATTGTTTTATTTCTTTAACTTTAAAATAATTACATATGAGCCGATGTCTGATTTATCTGCCAATAACTAAACAGTTGACAACAGCCAAAAATGCATTATTAATATTAATGACATACAGCCTTGTTATTGGAAAATTCACCTCATCTGTTTTGAAATATTCTGTAGTTTTAAGTAAATATTTCATTTAAAAAAAGTGTTCAATTAAATTCAGCAATTGTTTTGCATATAATTGCTATTATTAAACTGAATTATACATAAAAGCATTATACATGTACTAGTGTGTGTAATATAATGTATGTATGTATGTGTGTATATATATATATATATATATATATATATAATACACAAAGTAATATTATGGGTCTTTATCTTATCTTTGCAGACTCAGCTCATAGACACCAAAGGATCCTGTACAAAGACAGCGGCTTCTGCAACTCATAGCTTTTATGGACAGTCGAGCAAACCGACCACAGGAGAAAAGCGACCATCTAAACTCCCTGAGGCAGTAGGAAGTGTCCCTGCAAAGAAGCCAGCAGTGTCTGTGAAAGGGAAATGCATGTCACACTCAGAAAATCGTTTCCGAGTGGAGGTCGGCTACTATGCGGACCTCATCACTGTATTCAAAAGCATTCCCTCTAAGAACTATGGTGAGCACAGACACCATATCTGCTGTCATTATTTGCAGAGAGCTTAGTGTGCTAATAAAGCTTAAAGGAATCCCAAAAATGAAAATTTAGGTCATCCAAGATGTAGATGAATTTGTTTCTTCATCAGATTTGGAGAAATATAGCATTGCATCAACTGTTCACCAATGGATCCTCTGCAGTGAATGGGTGCCGCCAGAATGAGAGTCCAAACAGCTGATAAAAACATCACAATAATCCACATGTAATCCACACCACTCCAGTCCATCAGTTAACATCTGGAGAAGACAAAAGCTGTGTGTTTGTAAGAAACAAATCCTGACGGCACCCATTCACTGCAGAGGATCCATTGGTGAACAGTTGATGCAATGCTATATTTCTCCAAATCTGATGATGAAACAAGCTCATCTACATCTTGGATGGCCTGAGGGTGAGTACATTTTTAGCAAATTTTCGTTTTTGGGTGAACTATTGCTTTAAAGGAAAACAGCTGGTGGCCTATAATATTTATGCATTTGTCATTTATCTGCTGTCACAGATCCTGCTACAAGGATGTGGAACTTCAGCCTTGAGGACTACCTGATGCTGAGTATGTCATCATGAACGTTATTTAGCATACTCAAGCAGTGAGTGCATGCAAAAATATATCTGTTTCCTGTAGCACAGGGTGTAATGGAGTTTGCTTGTGTTTCAGTGGAGCAGGCAGCGAGTTTACCCTCCGTCTCTCTCAAACCGCTGGATGGGATGGAAGGGCTGAATTTTTCAGCGTCCACCAGTCGACCCAAAGATGCAGCAGCTCTGGCAGCTCTGATGAGGTTCTGTCAGGGTTGGCAGAAACCAGGTGCCATGGTAAAGGGGAAGTGCGTTTTAGTGTCTCGCTGTCGGGTGGAGGTGGATATTGGATACCAGGCCGATGTTATTGCAACCTTCAAGAAAATGCCATCCAAAAATTATGGTGAGTGTAATAGATTTACCACAAACTTGAATGGGGTACAAAATTGGGCCTATAATAGGAAGTCATGTGAAGTACATTATCATCACATTATTCTACAAACCCAAACCCTACTAATACTCAAATGTGACTTCGTTGACATGTAGTTGCAAAGTTACTTATAGTTAGTAGAATGTCTAAAGTGGACTATAGAAATAAAGTGTAACCTCAACGAATGTTCAGTGAAAGTTTGATTTAGAAGGTCAAACCAAATATTATTTGAGCTGTTTTATTTTTTGCAACCAATGTAGTCTGGTAGAAGTCTAGCAATAAACATCAAAATGCATCAAACGTACAATATAAAAATAAATGTCAAATGAAATTCTAAAAATTATAGGAATATTAAACGTTTTTTTTATTTAAGCTAGTTTAAGCCTAAGGTAGGGACTAGGTCATTTAAAATCAGCTTTTGCAATCAGTTTGTTATTGACAAACTTATATTTCCCATAAATTAAAGATGTTTGTTTAATCATTAATCACAGTACAGAGTTTGATGAATACATTACAACACTACAACTTGTGTGAAAATTAAACGAGATGGTTTGCTTTTCTTCCTGCCATACTGTTGCATGCAAAATGTGTGACAAAGCTTAATATTATATTTTTGGTCATTAAAATGAGTTAATTAATTTTTCAAAATATATAAATGTATTTTTAATTTATCTAAGAATTTATTTTATTTTTTATTTTTTTTAACACTTTTTTTTTTTTTTAAAAAAGGGATTTTTCCCTCTAATGCTTTTAAAAAATAATGGGTCACCAAAGTGTGTGGAAAGTTCCAGAAGGCTTTCACATGTATCATGCACACATTTTATTCTTTGTTTATTATTAGACATGAAGACCAGAAAGTGGAATTTCCTTCTTGAGGACTACGGGAAGCTCAGTGAGTCATTTTAATTTTATTCACTTCAATTAATTCTTTTTCGAAGAGCATAAATGTAATCAGTGCGTATTAAATAGTGGAACATAAATTTAAGTTTACATTTCACGCTCATGCCAGAGACATATTTTTATGCAAGTATGCAAATGCAGGTGAGAATGCTTGGCCCTTTCTTGCATTACTGTGGTGGTAAAATATAATTCATGGCACAGATATTTCAAGGTATTTTTAATTCCTGTTCTTCTGAATACAGTTAAATTTAAAGGATTTTTCAAGTATGACTTGCAGTTCTGAAAAAAAGGACAGAATTGCGACATATAAACTCGCAATTGCAAGAAAAAGACAGAATTATGAGATGAAAAAGTCACAATTACTTTTTTATTTTTATATATAAAATAAGAATTGCAAGAAAAAAAGTCTGAATTCTGAGTTTGTCTCACAAAAAAAAAAAAGGTGAGATAAATTACCTTTTTAATTTTTTTTAATTTCATGGTGGAAATGGGTTTCTATATTATAGTTTGTCAATGTTTCATTTTATATACCAGTATTTTACTGTATTTCTGAACATAATAATATGTGACTTTCCTCTGGACTTTTCCTCTCAATAATGCAGTTTTGACCGGGTTGGACTTATCATGGACTTAGTCATGTGTGATGTATTTTTGGGAAAATACAGTGCATGTAGTTGATGGTGATGTCTTCTGTTTAGTGGTGGAACTGAGTGAGCTGCCTACGGTGGAGATCGAGCCTTTACCTCCCGCTGTGCTGCAGTCCTTCTCCTCTCAGTTTGAGAAGAGTGAGTCCAGAGCTCCAGTCCCTCCTGAGGCCGATCTCTCACACGTGGATCCGCAGGTCACACGCAGCCTCATGCCCTTCCAGAGAGACGGGGTCAAGTAGGTCTCCATTACTGGTGTTTTAATGGGTTAAAAGTTAGTCGGTGGTTGGTAGCAATGCAAAGGTCATGGGTTCGATTCCCAGGAAATGAACTGGTAAATACTGGTGAACCTTGACTTAAAGTCGCTTATCTGAAATAATTGTTTTTGGTCCCCCAAATTTAAGTAGCTGGGTAATCATTTCTCTTCAATTTCCTCTCAGGTTAGGAACCTTGGTGTTTCACCAAACAAATCAATTCTGTTGTTAAGAACCGTTTTTATCAACTGCGGATTATTTCCAAACTTAAACCGATTTTGTCTTTTCAAGACATGGAGAAGGATACTCATGCTTTTATTACCTCACGTCTAGATTAATGTAATTCACTGTATTTGGGTATTTGGGCACGCCTTCAGATGGTACAAAATGCAGCTGCAAGGCTGTTGACCAGGGCAAAGAAATGTGACCACGTCACCCCAGTTTTAGCTTTGCTTCATTGGCTCCCGGTCCATTTTAGAATTCAGTTTAAAATCTTGTTGATTGTTTTTAAAGCTCTTAATGATCAATTTCCATCCTATCTTAGGCTATGTTCACACTGTCAGTTTTTGGGATTGACAACCACATTTACTAACAGTTGTGAGTCTCGAAATGTCCTGTTCACACAGCAGCTTACAGTAGCTTCTCAGATACTGGCCACGTTCACACAGCAGCAGAATACGGTTGTCAGTCCTGTATTTGAGTCCTTAATACAGTGACGTTCACACACAGTACGGTTATTTGCCGCATTCTGTAACCGAACTCACACCCGTACATTTTCAGGACTCACAACAACTGCATTCTCGGAAAACACGCGCTGTGTGAACGGAACCGGACTGGACAACTAGTTGCCTCCGCTCCACCCAAATATAAAAGCTGCTGTCGGTTAATGAAGGTTTGACGGATGAACTCGCGGCTCGATTGGACTCTTGTCGTGTCAGAAAGGGATAAGACTATCATTTTTATGGACGTCGCCATCTTTGATATTTCTTTGGTCACTGTCACTATGGTAACTGGTAAGGAATACAAGCTTGACTCCCGTTGCACGTTCATACAGACAGCATTCGAGACGCTACTGTAAGGTGCTGTGTGAACGTGACATTTCGAGACTCACACCTGTAAGTAAATGTGGTTGTCAATCCCAAAAACTGACAGTGTGAACGTAGCCGTATTTGAGTCCTTAATACGGTTACGTTCACACACAGCACGGTTATTTTCAGGCGTGACAGCCGCATTCTGTAACCGAACTCACACCCGTAAATTTTCAGGACTCACAACCGCATTTTCTTTCTGACACGACAAGAGTCCAATCGAGCGTCGAGTTCATCCGTCAAGTCTTCATTAACCGACAGCAGCTTTTATATTTGGGCGGAGAGCGGAGCATTTGAGTTGCGCGCAGAACACAAAACTGACAGGAGCGGCTCCGGTGGAAAACTGACGAGATCTAAAACTTTCAGATGACACACAGCTCATTTCTCAGTCACTGTACATTTTCAACTCACGGTAGACACGCGTTTGTGCAGCAGAGCGGCTCTCTCTCGCTCTGTATGATGTGACAGACAACTAGTTGTCCAGTCCGGTTCCGTTCACACAGCGCGTGTTTTCCGAGAATGCGGTCGTGAGTCCTGAAAATTTACGGGTGTGAGTTCGGTTACAGAATGTGGCAAATAACCGTACTGTGTGTGAACGTCACCGTATTAAGGACTCAAATACAGGACTGACAACCGTATTCTGCTGCTGTGTGAACGTGGCCTTATTCTTATTCCTCTGTCATCTACCAGACTTTTAAGATCTTCTGACAGGGCTCTTTTATCTGTGCCTCGTTCCCATTTATAAACTAACGGAGATAGGGCTTTTTCTGTTGCTGCCCCCACTTCTGTGGAACCTACTGCCTCTGAACATCCGCCTTGCACCTAAATCTCTACTCCTAATTTAGAGCATTTTAAACTAACTTTATTTTTGTTTTATTGCCCGTTTTGTTTGGTTTTATTTAACTTTCCTTTACTTTGTTCAGCACTTTGGATAACTTTGCTATGTTTAATTGTGCTACATAAATAAAATTTGCTTACTTACTTGCTTTGGATAAAAGCATTTGCAGAGTGCATAAAATGTAAATATATAATGTGATGTTTGCTGATGTGTCAGTTTTGCAGTGTCCAGAGAGGGCCGTTTGCTCCTGGCTGATGATATGGGTCTGGGAAAGACAGTCCAGGCCATCTGCATCGCTGCCTACTACAGGAGTGAGTGGCCTCTGCTGGTGGTCGCTCCGTCCTCAGTGCGCTTCACATGGGCCGAGGTACACACTCTTACTGTAGAGGGATGCTTTTTGAGGATGCGTGTCACACCTATGCTACCGTTCAAAAGTTTGGGGTCGGTACGATTTTTTTCCCTTGCCAAGGCTGCATTTATTTGATCAAAATACAGTAAAAACAATAAATATTATTACAATTTAATATAGCTGTTTTCTATTTGAATATATGTTAAAATGTAATTTATTCCTGTGATCAAAGCTGTATTTTCAGCATCATTACTCCAGTCTTCAGTGTCACATGATCCTTCAGAAATCATTCTAATATGCTGATTTGCTGCTCAAGAAACATTTCTGATTATTATCAATGTTGAAAACAGTTGTGCTGCTCAATATTTTTGTGGAAACGGTGATACATTTTATTTTTCAGGATTCTTTGATGAATAGAAAGTTCAAAAGAACAGCATTTATTTGAAACTTTTGTAAGATGTAAAAGTCTTTACTGTCACTTTTGATCAATTTAACGCAGCCTTGATGAATAAAAATATTAATTTCTTTCAAAAAGACTCCGGCTGAGATTCAGAATTAACTATATTCTTGTGACTTTTATAATAAAGAAATTAACAGTCACATGTTTACCTAAGCCCTAATAAACTTTTTACAGTATATTAAAAATGACTTTTCTTGCATTTCAATTTTAGAGAATAAAAGTGTAAAACACTTCTGCACTGTTTAAGTAACGGAACACGCTTGTTTTCTGTATTACAGTAGTTCATAGTTGTCGTTCTTTTGTAAATAATGTAAAAACAGAGTTCTGACGTATTTAGTTATGTCAGTGGTAGTTAACGAAGCAGCTTTTGTCAAGGTTGCAGTCACCAAAATATACAAAAAAAAAGATATGCACACATTTTGCTATTGAAAATAAATGGCATCTGTGTTTTTTCTCTCTTGAAAAGCACCAGTCGCCAGTTTTTTCAACCATTTTTTTAAGACTACATGTTGTGAAATCTGATTTATTAATTCATATTTTCCATCACTGCACCCTTGAGGAAGTACACGTTCTCTTCTTTCCCGGCAGGGATTTGTGAGGTTATATTTTAAAGTTTAAAGGGAAACAGTGAATGTTTCCAGCGTTCCTCTGCAGGCTTTAGTCACATGACTCAACCTTCCTCAAAAGAGCTTGAAAGACATAAGTGAATTCTCGCTCTTTTCCCTCAGGCTTTCCGCCGATGGCTGCCATCTGTCAGAGCCGACAGCATTAATGTGGTGGTTACAGGCAAGGACAACCTTCGCTCCGGCCTCATCAACATCATCAGCTATGACCTGCTCAACAGGATGGACAAACAGCAGCCATCCAGCCCTTTCAGTGTCATCATTATGGTGAGAGCATGCCAGTGCCGTAAGGGCGGTGGAGTGGGGTATGAGTGGTTATGAACGAATGAATGAAACGCATTTGTCCGCGTTTCACTCCGTCTCGAATCGCGCTCGCGGAAAGTGCTCGAGAAACAGTGTCTCTTCCGCGGCTCGGTACGCTTTCAACTCGTTTTTTTTTGTCTCGAGCAAGACTGTACGACCTTCACATTACATGATTTGACTGATTTTTACGTTGAAAGGGTGACAGCGTACTGCATTAAAAAAAATGGTTATGAACGAATGAATGAAACGCATTTGTCCGCGTTTCACTCCGTCTCGAATCGCGCTCGCGGAAAGTGCTCGAGAAACAGTGTCTCTTCCGCGGCTCAGTACGCTTTCAACTCGTTTTTTTTTGTCTCGAGCAAGACTGTACGACATTCACATTACATGATTTGACTGATTTTTACGTTGAAAGGGTGACAGTGTACTGCATTAAAAAAAATGATCATTCATGTTTTCATAACCGCTGGCCAAATTCAAAACAAAACTAATTAAATCATCTTTGAGAGCAAGGGGGCCCCCTGATGTTTCAAGGGCCCTACGCAGCTTGCGTATTTTGCGTATAGGGAGGATCGGCTCTGGAGCATGCAAACTTGTTTTTTAATCACTCTCATTTACTGACTGCATTAGAAAGTTAGTTAGAAAATAACTTGTGCATGTGTGTATGAGAGTCCAGCTTTTGTGTAACGAATGCAGTTTGTGATGAACACTTACAGCAAACAAATTTTCTTCACTTCACTTGTAAATGCCTGAAAAAATAGTTCTTTAAAAATATTTGAATGCTAACATCATATTCAGTTATTATGGAATAAATATTTACTGACTTTAGTTACATAATCTGTCTTTTTAGTTTGGGACCAGTAAGATATAGCAAATCAGCATATTAGAATGATTTCTGAAGATCATGTGACACTGAAGACTGGAGTAATGATGCTGAAAATACAGCTTTGATCACAGAAATAAATTACATTTTACTATATATTCATACAATATGTTTTTACAATATTAGTGTTTTTACTGTATTTTATTTAAATAAAGGCAGCCCTGGTGAGCAGAAGAGACTTCTTTCAAAAACATTAAAAAATCTCAGTAGTTCCATCCCACCTAGTTACATCTATGTATAACCTTGAAATATTAAGACTTTTAAAGGTTTTTGTGAGCTCTTCAAGCGTGGATTTAGTCGCAGGATGTGAATTGAATTCTCCTGTTTTCTGTTTGTTGTACAGGACGAGTCTCACTTCCTGAAGAACATGAAAACAGCCCGCTGTCGGGCGGCTCTTCCTCTGCTGAAGGTTTGCTGATTCAGGCTTATTTTAGGCGTCATTCATAGTGGAGAAGTTTAAAACACCGTGGTTTAGTTTATCCTGTCCTGGTTTATTAAAGTTTAAAGTCTGTCTAGACTGCACAGACATCGGCTGTGTCTCAAAATCGACTGTGCTGCCGATTTAGAAAGCCTTGCTAGGAAAACCAGCCCAGAAAACCATAAAAACCTTAAGGTTTAATATTTGAAAGTGAAGAAAATAAGACAATTAGTATTGTAATTGTAATTTATTCCATTGTTTTATACTTTAGTCTATTTTTTATTTTACAGTGCAATGTGGTGGTTGAGGTTTTCCTTCATTTTTGTCCTTGGCTGATCACATACCTTGTATGGATTTTGCAACTCAGCTGCACGTCTCATATAAAACTTATTGATAGGTTTTATATGAGAAGACTAGATTTGAATTGCACATACTGGAGGATTTCAGGTGACGTCATTCGATTGTTTTCGTTGTCTGTGATGCTGCTAATTACACGTCTGTCTGGTGATAACAGACGGCTAAGAGAGTGATCCTGCTGTCAGGAACGCCTGCCATGTCCAGAACTGCTGAGCTCTACACTCAGATCCTGGCTGTGAGGCCTTCCCTGTTTCCACGCTTCCATGACTTCGGCACACGCTACTGTGATGCCAAACAGGTACGTCCATCTGTATACAGGTGTGTAAAAGTGCAATGTAGGGCTGCAAAGTTAATTTAAATAAAAACAAAATCATGATTTGCCTTAGTGCACTTATTAAATCGCAAAGGCTGTGTTTTAATTAAATAAATACATGCACTGCGTGTTTGAGAGTGAAGCGCGGCACTGTGTTCGTTTACACGTGAGCAGCTCATGATCCGCCGTGTTTTCAGCGTCTCAGAGCAACTCGCTTCACAGCAAATGCTGCTTCACACAAACTCCGTCTCTGCATCACAGGCACTTTAACATTCATTTGGGAACGTAACATGCACCAGCTATCTTCCCTTACTTGTAATGACAAGTGCTTATCAACAAAAAAAAAGCTTTAAGGGCTCCCTGTGGTTTTCCATCAAAATGCAAGTTAGTTTAACGTTTGAAAATTAAGGAATTAAGACAGCCATAAATATTAGTTTGGTAATGTAAAATAAAATGTATATTATTATATTAATATGAATAGAATATTAATATTATTTATAACAAAATGTATATTATTATTATATTTATATTATTTTATTTTTTGTTTTCTATACTTTTTCTTAAATACTCTCTTTTAAAATTAAATAGTACAACAGTAATTTCTTAAGTTATTATTTTGTTTTTATGTAGTCATTTTTATTTAGCAATAATAATAATAATAATAATAATTATTATTATTATTATTGTTTTATAGCCGTATAGATATATGGTCACAACATTTTGGTGAAACTATGCAGCGCTACATACAAGCACAGCAAACCTGGAATTTCTTTTTCTTTTTTTTATCGCAATTGCAAATTTAATCAGAAAATTTGAAATTAGATTTTTTTTTTCAACTCTTGATACAGCCATAAATATTAGTATTATAGTTGTACAGTTGTAAAATAAAATAATTTTTTATATATCATTTTTTATTAAATACTCGATTTTACAGTGAAATTTTACAACAGTATTTCATATGTTTTTTATTTAGTAATTTATATTTTTCTTATTTTGTAATAATAATAATAATAATAATAACTGTTGTTGTTGTTGTTGTTATTATTATTATTAGTTATAGCCATATTGAGAAATAATCACACAGTTTTGGCCAAATTGTGCAGACCTACAAACAAGCACAGCAAACCTGGATTTTTTAAAAGTGCATTTTAAATTGCAATGTTTATCAGAAAAATCCCAATTCGATTTTTCCCCAAATCATGCAGCCATAGTACAGTGTTAAAAGAGCAAACTGTTGTTGAGAAAAGCAGTTCTAAATGTGAAAGCGGTGTAGAAAAGCGGTGTGGATGTGTGTCTGCAGCTGCCGTGGGGCTGGGATTACTCCGGCTCGTCTCATCTGAGTGAACTGAAACTGCTGCTGGAGGAGTCTCTGATGCTCCGCCGCCTCAAATCAGAGGTGCTCTCGCAGCTTCCCGCCAAACAGCGTAAGGTGGTTACCGTGACGACTGACGGCATCAACTCCCGCACCAAAGCTGCTCTCAGCGCCGCTGCCAAAGAGCTCGCCAGAGGATACCACAACGTGAGCGCCAACTACAATACAGCTGTGAAAACAAGTCTGATTTGAACATTTCTTTCGAGGAATTCTGCCAATATTTACTCACTCTCATCTTGAGTCATTCATCATAACAGCATATGGGTTTGGAATGAGACGAGAGTGAATAAATAATGGCAGAATTAGTGTCATGTGTCCGTTACTGTAGCAGAGCTTTTCTGTGTTCATGTGCAGAAGTCACAAGAGAAGGAAGCTCTCCTGGTTTTCTTCAACCACACAGCAGAGGCCAAGATCAGAGCCATCGTGTACGTAAAAACAAAAACACCACAGCTGAGTTCAGTTTCATGCAGTTCCTTCAAAACTATAACTCTATGAAGAAACATGCACTGTTATTATTAAGGCCAGTTGACACCAGTAACGATAACTATATTAGCATTAGAGGTCGACCGATAGTGGATTTTGCTGATACCGATAGCTAGGTTGGACCACACTGGCCGATACCGATTAATTAACCGATAGTTTTAAAATTGATACTGAAAATATATAAAAAACTAAAATAGTGCTTTATTAACAAAAACAGTACTGAACCATACTAGTAGTAGTAGTAAAAAATTTTTTATAATAATAGTAATAGTAAATGTTGAAATTAACACCCTCTGCCACAGAAAGACAAACGTTTTGCTGAAAATGCACAATACACAATTCATTATGCACATTAACAACGATTCGGGACCAATATAATGTAATTTAAAGGTAAACTATGTGAATGGTGCTCTGTGTCGTGGCAGGATTGAACTCTCCGTTTTATAATATACATTCTATATTAATCCATTTAGAATGAATCATAAACAGACCTTTATTTAAAGATGGAAGAACTTTTATGATTTATATCAATAGCTGGTCTCTTTATAATGTAGCTTTTGCAATAGTTTAATAAAATCAGTGGGATACTCAAAGCTGTGTGTTACAGCATTTTAAAAAATAACGAACTATTTTAAATAACTATAAATAATAATTAATATTTTATATTATATATATATAATTTATATAAACATTTATTTTATTTTTATTTTAAAAAGTAAATAATAATAATTGATATAATAGTATATCAGTTACTAAATTAAGACTGCTTGCCTCTGTTTCTCAGGGAGTACATCTCAGACATGCTGGAGTGCGGACGAGAGAAGTTTCTGGTGTTTGCTCATCACAAGCTGGTGCTGGACAGTATAACCAAAGAGCTCGCTGAGAAGGTCTGTCCAAATGAACTGTTTCTTCACAAAACTCTAAAATACCTTTTAACATTTGCCATCAACTGCCAGCAGACCAAGATGGAATGTTCTGATTTAGAATTTTTAGAATGAATTCAAAAGACTTCAAAACAGCAAAAACCAAATTAGCCAAATTGTGAGCTGCACAATATATCATGGTCTTATCAGTTATTGCTTATTTGATTTGATTTGATATTTAACTGTGGACTTTCTTTTCATAATGAGTTAAAACTTTACAGTAAAGCTCTTCTCCATACATCATGCTGTACATGATTGTTGTGACATATGTGTGATACCTTCATTTCTTTAGTCTGTAGTGTGTTTTAGTCATGTTTAGTACATTTCACAATTAATTAGCAGATAATTGGTATCAACCTGTATGTATTTTTTATTTATTTATTATTTATTTTCTTCTATTTTGTTTATATTATTATTATTATTATTATGCAATTTTTCCTAAATGCACAATTTTACAGTGAAATATTACAAGAGTAATTTATTTAATTCTTATTTTTTTGTACTCTTTGTATATATTTATTTTGTAATAATAATAATAATTTTTATTTTTTTTTTTTATAGCCATATTGATATGTGATTACAAAATGTTGGACACATTTATTTATTTTTTATTTTATTTTATTTTATTTTATTTATAATATAATTTTTATTTATTTATTTATTTTAGGGGGCTGGGGGCACGTAAAATATTAAACATAAATATTTCCATTTGATAGCGAGATAGCCAGTGGCTAATTTTCTTTCACAGTTCCTTTGACAAGTCACCATAAAAAAAAAACAACAACAAAAAAACAGTGTCCTTAACTAAACTGGTTAATAAATATAATCATATGTTGCGTATGTGGACCAGGTGTCTGTCACACGTTGAGTTGAATAGATACTATCTGAGCACTGCTGTGCTGTTTGTGTGCAGGGAATCAGTTACATTCGTATCGACGGCTCGACGGCGTCCGCGGAGCGTCAGCAGCTGTGTGACAGATTCCAGTCGTCACAGAAGAGCTGCGTGGCTGTTCTGTCCGTCACCGCCGCAAACATGGGGCTCACGCTGCACTCGGCCGACCTCGTGGTGTTCGCCGAGCTCTTCTGGAACCCCGGAGTGAGACACAGACATGTTCAGTCCAGACATTTACAGGCTTCCCACACGCGTGAAAACCTGGAGACATGAGGGGAAACTCTGACCTCCAGACCTGACGCAGTCATGTGCTAAAATGTTTCATTGGCTTGAGATTGCTATTTGTTAAAGCAAACTCTGTAAAATATTAAAATGAAAATGAAAAATGAAAAGTCCTTATTCAGTAATCACTGAAATTCATTGGTCGTAAAGTGTGGGAACCCTGAATTTAGACCTTTATCTCAAGCTTAATTGTAAGACTTTTAATTCATTAATTACTTTTTACTTATTTGTATAAATAAGTAAAATATTTTCTTATATTTGTAATTTTTGACATTTTTATTTAATTAATATAAATAAATGTATTAATTTTTTTTTTAAATAAAATTAATGTATTATCAGATGCTGTAACAGGTCACTTTTTCTTTACATTTTTTATCATTTTAAATGAATACTTCGGTGAATACTTAGTTTATTTTAATATTTCTTTTAAATTAACTTTATATTTCAGTTTAGTTTTAGTTAATAATTAAATTTTTTTTAAATGTATTATTATAACATAAGTGTATTATTAGATGATGTAACTGGTCACCTTTTCTCAATTTGTTTTTATATTAAATGAATACTTCAATTTTTAATTTTGTTTAAAATAATTTTAAATGGAACATAGGATGTCACACCACGGGGCATGTCAAATTTCCAAAATATTAGCAAGTCATTATAATTATAAAAAAAATATTCAATGTATTAAAGTTGTGTTTTTATTAGTTTATTAGTAAATTGTTATTTATTTTAATACATTTATTAAATTAACTTTAAAATTCAGTTTAGTTTTATTTCAGTTTTGCAAAGGATTGTTAATTTCAGTTGCATTTTATTTCACGGACAGTTTTTTTTTTTTTTTAAATAAGTAAGTGTAAGGAATCAGTTAATATTTACATCCAAAATGGATTTTTCACTATTTACATTCTTTGTGAAATCATCAAATTAACCAAAGTCTGTCATGAGTCTATCAATTTAATCTGGCACTGTCATTTTTCAACCACTGTTTTAAGTTTAGATTTAGTGTTAGTTTACTTGCTGTTATTATTTTCATTTGATAAAAATCTTTTTATATGAGGAATGATGGTTTTAGTATATGATAACCCTGATTCTCAGGCGCTGCAGCTTGTGTAGCATCCTCTCTTCCTGTGGAGATGGTTAGACTGCCAGACTCAGATAAAAGCATCTCCATGAATCAGCAGAGGAGTTCAGTCTGGAACAAGCTCTCATCTGGCTTCAGCAAAAATGACTTAATAAATGTAAGCGATATGGAGAGTGCTGCCAGAACACTTGTGAAAGGTGTTTATTTCCTGATTCAGGTCCTGATTCAAGCGGAGGACCGGGTGCACAGGATCGGACAGACCAGTAATGTGGACATTCATTACCTGGTGGCTAAAGGCACAGCGGACGATTACCTCTGGTGAGGGCGATCTGCAGACACCACACAGTAATGAAAAACCTGCAGATATGAGGGAATTTTTCATTTCTTTTCTTCAGACCTGGAACAGGTGGTGGGAGGGAAGGATTGAATTATTGGTTTCGGTAGGGGGAAACTATGTTTCAAGAAATTTAGAATTTAAGTATTTATTACTTGCTATAATTTTTTGGTAAAATTGAAGAGGGTCTGAATACTTTCCGTACCCACTGTATATATACATATATTTAAATGTTGTTTGAAATATTTAAAATTAATTTTAAATTTTTTTTTTTCTTATTTTCTTCGGACCTGCAATAGTTGGTGGGAGAGAATGATTAAATTATTGGTTTTGGTGGGAGGGAAGGATTGAATTATTGGTTTCGGTAGGGGGAAACTATGTTTCAAGAAATTTAGAATTTAAGTATTTATTACTTGCTATAATTTTTTGGTCGCTTCATAATATTTGCAATAATTGTGACTCTTTCAGATCATATATATATATACATATATTTAAATTTTGTTTGAAATATTTAAAATTAATTTTAAATTTTTTTTTTTATTATTTTCTTCGCACCTGCAATAGTTGGTGGGAGAGAATGATTAAATTATTGGTTTTGTTGCAAAAAATGAAAACCCAAATTTTGCTTAATTTTTCCAATAATTGTGAATTTTTAGTATCATATATACATTACAAGCTGTAACTGGTCATCTTTTATTTTATTTTATTTATTTTTCCATTTTAAATCACAGTTTTTGCTCTCAGTTTAAATGGTTACTACAACAATTTTAAATTGTTTTAATTTTAAAACAAGTTTACCCATAGTGTCAAATTTTCAAAATATTAACCATTATAATTATAAAAAAAAAAAAGAATATTATTTTAAATAAAAAAATGAGTTGTTTTTTATTAGTAAATGATTTGTTATCTTAATACTTCTTTTCAAATTAACTTTAAAATTCAGTTTAGTTTTAGTTTATTTCTTCGGTGGGTTCTTAACTTTAGTTCTGTTTTATCATGTTTTACACGCATGATGCTACTGATTGGCCTTGTTTCTGTTTTTACACTGTTTTCTTCTGTTTCTCAGGCCCATGATACAGGAGAAGATGAATGTTTTGGAGCAGGTCGGTTTGTCTGAATCCAACATTTCAGAGAAGGCAGAATCTGCCACCTTTCACAGCAATGTTAGTATGCCCTCTTTTTACCATCTGCATTTGACATTAGAACATAAAAAATCAATCATATTCAACCAGCGATAAAATAACTAGACTTCCATTGCGCTTTTATTTATTTGTATTATTTATTTTTTCGCTTAATGTTGAAAGCTTTAGAATATATTTAGCTGATTTTAAATAAATTCAAAATCAAAGTTGGTAAATATCTGCATAAATATTGCAAAACAGTTAATAATGCAAATTGAAATAGTTATTGAACATATCTGCCATCGCTGGAGAAAAATGCATTTTTCCCTGTTTGTCAGGATCCTCATCAGCTGACCATCACTGAGATGTTCCAGAGGTCCTTTGATGAGGAGGAGATGCTTGCTTTAGTTGATCAAGATCAGTAAGAATGCACATTTCTGCATAAAATAACATGAATTGTTTCAGTTGCTTTGAAAACCAATCACTGGACTGTCACAAAATTACTAAATAAAGCCTAAAGATTTTTGAAACCGCTGTCAGATTCAACCAAACTAATCAGCCTTTCACCAAATAATTCAACCAAACTAATCAGCCTTTCACCAAATAATTAATAAGTAATAAAAACAGACAAGAGTGTTTTCACAGTGTTTAATTCACAAGAGGATGTAAATTCATATGATTCATGTGAGATGATTTATAGCTGCCTTCAGATCCAAACTGACGGAGAACAAAAGAAACCATCATATCATTATGTCTTCCAAACAGGGTCATTATCATTAACTACAATTAAAAACAATAACTTGAAATAAACAATAATTGAAATAAAATATAAAAAATACATTTCAAAATTAATTTTCATTTAGTTAAGTTGAAATACTAAAATAACTAAAACTAAATAGACATTAATAAAAAATTAACTAAAATTAAAATAATAAAAATAAAATGTAACTCAAAACAACAAAAACTACAATAGTGTATCATTGATACTAAAAAAACACTTACAGCTTAAAGGGATAGTTCGATACCCCCCTGTTTAACGAGGGGGTATCTCTCGGGCGAGATCCCAATTCGTCAGTCACGACTGACGTAACGTCGAACGTGACTGACTGAAAGGGAAACAAAGTCACCTACATCTTGGATGCCCTGGGGGTAAGCAGATAAACATCACATTTTCATTTTTGGGTGAACTATCCCTTTAATTACATCAAATATAGTTTGAGACCTTGTATGAACTGATTCTTTGAACGAGTCATTTCTTTGAGAATCAGATTACCCTGTTGTTTAATTATAGTAACACTGCTTCTCATGAATGTGTTTGATGTAAGTTAATCACGTAACCTCACCTTTATCCGTCTGGTTCTTTGACAGATGATTGTACAGATTTCATACATTTTCCTGATCCCCTGAAATACAGAAGACAAACTTCTCATCACATTTACCTCACAAGTAAAAGTTGAAATGAAGTTTATTTATCATTCCAGAATAAGATTACTGACTTTGTGTGATTAATGTTAATCGTGTGTTTGACATGAATTTGTCTAACAGATTACTCAATCTTGAGACATGGGAAAAAAAAAGAGTATAGAACTGAAATAAATGGAAGTTAATTCACCAAAGGAACTATTTCTGATTAATCCTTCTCATTTACGCTTGGATGCTTCATCCATTTGTATTCAGTTTTTCCCTGCTGTACCTCAATCTGATCACTTTGACAGTATTTTGCATGTAATCTGTGTATTAAAATGCATAAGCCATTCTGTTTTTGCTAGCTATTAATAGGACCCATTTAAAATGAGTGAAATTATTACATATATTTCTTTATAGTGGGTGACAGGACTGATATACTGTATAATAGTTGTAAAAGAAAAAAAAGAGCATAATTACCTAGAATCATATGCTGAAATATGGACCTTCAGGAAGAAGGTTGACTTTGGTTTTATAAAACGTTTCCTTAATATCTCACTGAAGGATCAGTGACTAAACTTGTTCTTGACGTGTGCATCACTCATTGAAATAAAGACCTGCGTCCTGCGGGCTGGATGAGGGCGTCTCTTGTGCTTCAGGCTCATCAGAGGAAGCTGGCTGACTCTCTGTCGTCTCCGGCTTCATTTCTTCAGCAGCTTCTGGAGGTGGAGAGGAAGGGTAATGCTGACTTTTGTGTCACCTTTTCACTTTTAGTTAACGGACTAAAGCAGAGATTCACAAACTTTTTTTTTAATCAGCCGAACACTTTAGACGTAAAATATGTACTTGGAAGTTTTTATTTCACCAGTTCGTGTTTTCAGTAATTTAACAACACATTTGCATGTTTACGGTCTTTGATGTTGGTTACTGGTCATATACCATCCAAGCAAACATAAAAAACATATATATATATATATATATATATATATATATAAATTAAAATGTCTTAAATTGTAGTAGAAAGTCTTAAAGTCATAGTTGTGGCATTAAAAAAAAAAAGATCTGCCTCAGTATTTTGTTTTTGTTTTGATTTTTCAATACAAATATCTAAACATCCTTAATTCAAGACATGAGATGCAAAATGAAGATTTTTTTGAGAAACTGAACAAAATTAAGTGAGTTTATGCTTAAAACAAATATCTTTCAATGGGGAATGAAAACTTGGGTTCCCTTTGAATTAAGTTGATTTTTCTGAGCCCAATGGCAGAAATTTGTCCCTTTTTTTTATATACAAACTCTGATACATTTTTTTGATACATTTATCAGAAAACAAGACTTTTTCTCAAATGTCATTTTTGCATCTTGATTTAAGAATTTTTTAGACATTTGCACTGGAAAACAAGATCAGTGTGATCAGATGCTACATTAAAAGTTCATTCCATTTTCTAGTTAAGCAGTTTTTTTTGTGTGTGGACCGTTAAATGTGTGGTTAGAAGTTGTATTTTCAAACTTTGCAGTGCTGCTAATGCAACTCATAGTTCCCTTTCAGTCAGTCACGTTCGACGTTAAGTCAGTCGTGACTGACGAATTGGGATCTCGCCCGAGAGCCCAATCACCTTCGAGTGTTAACTAAACAAGCCAATG